CCTTCGGAGTTCCTGCTTCATGAAAAAGTCTGCTAGATATTCTGCAGGACACAGAAGAAAGTGACTGACAAACTGCCAATCCAGGCAGAACTGTCTTTCAAATTTCCTGCTTCATGGAAAAGTCTGCTAGATTCGATGGGCCTGTAGACCAAAGATGGGTGCTCCAATGGCACAGAAGAACTTTGGGTGACTGTCCACACAGTGAGATGTCTCTGTCAATTCTAGAGTTTTAGAAGTTGTTTATAATGTACTTCCTGTTTACTTAGGTAATATATCCTTCTGGAGTTGAAGAATAGATAGCAATAGTTTTCCTTAGTTATGATGAAAGATAAAGTAGATACAAATATTGTAACTATAATTCTTGTTTGGTAATTGTTTTGTTGTATGTAATCTTGCTATGTTAAAGTTAAAACCTTCCTTTTTATTTAGACAGAAAAGGGGAGGTGATGTGGGATTTCCCTCTGCATGCTGCGAATACCATCGGTTAATAAAGAAGCTGTTTTAGGTCTATTGCAGTGCAGAATAGGGCAAGGTGGGAGTTCCAAGCAGATAGAGGAGGAGAGAGCAGGCAGAGTCAATCAGATGCCACAGATGCACTGGAACCTTGCCGGTAAACCACGAGCCAGGAAGAGTCTCATGTATCCCAGGCTGACCTCAAATTCAATGTATATAGCTGAGGATGATGTGTATGTAGCTCTCACATGCTGGGGCTACAGACATGCACCACAATGCTTGGTTTGTATAGTGCTGGGGATCTAACCAGAGCTTTGTCCACATTAGCGAAATACTCTATTTACTGAATAGTATCTTCAGTCCAGTTTCTGCCAACTAAAAGCTTTGCTATGTGTTTCTTCCCTCCCTCTCTCCCATCCTTCCTTTCAATTTTTTTGAGATAGGATGTTATTCTGCAGACCAGACTGGGCCAGAATTCACTCTGGAGCCTGGTCTGACCACAAACTCATGGCAATATATCTTCCTCAGCTTCCTAAGTGCTGTGATTACAGCTGTGAACCACCTCACCTGGCAGTATAATATTTCTTCATATTTTCAATAATTACCCAAAAAGAAAAAAAGCAATGAAAAACCAAAACAAGATGGCATTTACAAGCATAGTCACTGTGCAGTATATAGGAGTCTAATATCACCTGGTCCTGGGGCAGGGGATTGGTGGGGAGCTGATGGTCCACCATAACTATAATTCCCATCTCCTAGATAATAACCAGGGAAGAAGAGCCTGTGACAGATACAGTTCTTACCAGCTGTGTGGAAAAGGGTTCTGGGGATTTCACCTATACTGTTTTGGGTAAAAAGCCCCTGCTGTAGATGAAGGTGCCCCCCAGGTCACATTTGAAGCCTTGGCCTCTGGAACCTCAGAGCATGGCTGTATTTGGAAACAAGGTCACTGTGGCTCTAGTTAGTTGGGATGAGGTCATGTTGGAGCAGAGTAGACCCTATAAGTGAAATGGGGAAAAAATGGACATACTAGAAGGGTACCATGGGAAGATGAAGTTGGAGGTTGATGATAGCTCTACAAGACAAGAATGATCAGTACATACAGACAGTGATCAAACTGGGCAGATTTCCCCACTAGCCTGGGAAGGAACATCCTGCCCTACCTGCATCCAGCCCAACCTAGGCAAATGTACTGCTGAATCCCATTTGTGTTCCTATGTTTATGTTCCTACGAAGTGGCCCCAGGAAAATGGTTATACTCTCTAGTCACCTCTACTGAAGGCTGTAGTAACTGCCCCGTGATAGCACAGGCAAAGTGACAAAGGGTCTTATCTCACCTAAACGATCCGGGCCTTTGCTGTGAGTCTGACTACTGAGCTAACCCACCCCAGGACTTCTTGTCACCACAGCAAGCTGGGGATGGTGATGTCTTCTCACTGGTGTGTCCCTGGGCTTTGCTCTAGAGTAGTATGGAATAATTTCTCTAGTTTAGGCTGATATGAAATAAGCTGATGTAGTCTTTTGTGAGCATGCTCATTGGCACACTACAGACAGCAAACTTGAAAACTCCATTTAAATACACAAAACATACTAATGGAAAGAGGCCATATGCATGGACGTATTTAACTTAACAAGTATGCCCAAACTAGTACATAAATCTTTCTAAATTCCAGGTTTAAAACCACAAAAGATTTGCATGCACGAGTGTCCGAAGCCCACTGGCATGACCAGGTTATAAGATTGAAGCGCAAGGATAAGGAAGTGCTCAGGACAGTCAGGGTCAGCCTGGAGTAAGGGCAGCAGAGGAGAGCTAGCTCTGACTCAAGTTATACAGGTAAGATGGCACTGAGGTAAGAGACCAGCTAATGATCAGAGTTCCTAAACAAAGGGCTCTGCACAGGTGGCCATCTCTAGGCTGAAAGGACATACTGCAAAGTTGAAAATGTACCAGATAATTCCTGCTAATCAACAAGAAAAGAGAATAAATTAGCACATGGTACAGGAATCAAAATCCAGCATCTCTAGCAAGGACAGAATGATGAGCAATGGAGTGTATGAAACAGACGCATCCAAATAATTTTTAACAGTACCCAGTTATCTGTGGAGTATCAGAACATGTAAGTGGCACTGAGTAAAAGATGCTTGTCCCAGCCCTGCTAGCATGAAGCCATTCATTTCGTGGCAGTTCCAGCCCATGTATTCAGAACATTTGTGTGCATGGTGGTGGTTATTTTCAGGGGCTAAATTAGCTCAGCTTTGGGTGAAATGACAAACTACATTGAAATTATTTCCCATCTCTTTCAGCACTGTCTGTGACTTTAATATTTAATGCTCATCTTTGCAGCCATCTATGTTACAAGAGCAGTTTATAGGATGCTGTTATTCAGTTTCCTGTTACAAATGTAGAGAGATCTGCTTGTCTCTGCCTCCCTAGTGCTGGGACTAAAAGGCATGTACCACCACCTCTGGGATTATTTTTTGTTTCTTAAGGTTTTCATTGTTTTGAGACAGGCTCTCATGTATTCCAGATTGGCCTTGAACTCACTATCTATGGAGCTGAGGATGACTTAGTGTGAGGTCACAGGCCTGTACCACTATACCCAGTCTCATTATTTCTTAGTTTTATAGTATCTTTGCTTCTCGGTCATATTTTCCATCATTTATTTGTTTCTTTGTTGTTTGTTTGCAGGGTTTCACTGTGTAGCCCTGGCTGGCTTGGAATTCACTTTGTAGACCATGCTGGCCTTGAATTTACATATATCAAACTACCTTAGCTTTCTGAGTGCTGGATTAAAGATATGTGCCGCCATTCCCAGCATCCTTTATTTTATTTTAGCTGCCTTTTAAAAACATACCTTTATTGTTCTTTGAGAAAATTTGTTTACTCAGACCTAGAAAACTTCTCTGTTAATCTGGGGGAAGAGCTATCTGCTAGAACATCACGTGACTCCAGGTGCACAGCTGGGAACTTATGTCCCATCTCATCCCTAGAAAGGGCTGTTGGACTTCAGGACCAGGTGACTCCTTGACATCTGTTCCTCCATGGCTGCTGCTGAAGCATCAGCTCTCTTGTCTTTGCCTGCATTTGTGCATGCATCTTCATTGCTTTGCTGAATTCTGTTTAGTGCTTTATTTGTTAACCAGCAATGTAAGGAAATCAACTGGGAACAGCTGGATGCTACACTTGGAGTCCAATTCAGATAGTTAAAAACTTAAGAGAAAGAGAGAAGGAGACAGTGTGCGTGTGTTACGGTGAATTGAATCCAGGACTTTGCTCTACTAACTAAACTACATCCCTAGCTTCTTTCTAAAATTTTAACTATAATTTCTCTGCCTTACACTTCTAGGTTTGAGGCAGCAGCATCTTCACAAGCACCTTTGTTCAAACTACCAGATACAGTCTGCTATTCTCTTACCTTTGTTCTTTTTTTTAAAAATTTTTTTTTAAAGATTTTATTTATTATGTTTACAACAGTCTGTTGTCCCTGTATGCCTGCAGGCCAGAAGAGGGCGCCAGATGGTTTTGAGCCACCATGTGGTTGCTGGGAATTGAACTCAGGACCTCTGGAAGAACAGTCAGTGTTCTTAACCGCTGAGCCATCTCTCCAAGCCCCCTAAAATTTTTTAAAAATTTATTATATATACAATATTCTGTCTGTGTATATGCCTGCAGGCCAGAGGAGGGCACCAGACATCATTACTTATGATTGTGAGCCACCATGTGGTTGTTGGGAATTGAACTCAGGACCTTTGGAAAAGCAGGCAATGCTCTTAACTGCTGAACCATCTCTCTAGCCCCTACCTTTGTTCTTTCTAGTCCAGTGGGACAGAACCACAAGGTGGCCTTGCATTTTGAATGCCATCTTTTAAGCTAGTTCCTAAGAACTCTGAGAACACCAAGCTTTCTCGACACTTCAGCCTGACCAGGGGATACATATTCTGCTGGGTCTGGTTTCTAGTGGAGGGTCAGCTTGGAGGCAGCTCCTACCTTCTCTTCTTCCTAGGGGCACTAGCCACTTCCTTCAGCTCCTGGCCCTTAGGGTGTAGTTGATGCCTGGGTTGCAATATGAGGTAAGGGAGCTCCGGAGCCTCCAAGTATAGACTGGTTTGGGCTATCTGCCAGAAACCCCTCACTTTGCTGAAGGTTGAAGCATACACTTGGCTTATCAGCCACAGCACCTGGTTATGACCACCTTGACTAGAACCCTGGCTTTGGCTTTTTTGTATCACTCTCATTTGGTAGGTGCTTCCCCCTGAGGATGAGAAGAGGGACATGCCTCACTGCAGGGTGTCAAAATAGGAGCCAGAGACCCTAAGATACTTTGAAGGTGGGACACGTGGGACCCACCCAGAAAGGATCCTACCCTGGAGTCCTCCCTCCCTCCCTTCCACGGAGCCCACACCTGAAGAAATGTCTCTAAAACCATTTGATGGCAGCCTTCACCCTCCAAGGGTCGACAGGGTGGAGCAGAATCTTGACAGTAGGGGCAGCCTGCAGCAGCTGAGTTCCAGGCCCAGCCCCTGCTTGCCCTAGACCAGGCTCTCACCTGAGGGAGCCCAGGCAGCTGTGGTTCAGCTTCAGTTGGATCAGGTTAGGGAGGTGCACTCCTGTGGGCCACAGGAAGGAGAGGTTGGCCTAGCCCCAACAATCCTGCCCACCTCTTTGCAGTGTTCCCCACACCCCCAAGAGGGATTGTTCACAGGCACATGGCCTTTTCTAGCTCATAGAGGGACCCATTCTCTGGGGCCTGTGCAGGAACTGGCCCAGATGTTCTGAGCCTTCTCTCCCCTTGCCATGTAGGGGTTGCATGTCCTTCCACCCGGGGGCAGCCTAGCACAGGTAAAACAGGTGTAGAAAGGTGAACACACTGGCAAGGACCTGACTCGAAGAAGGGTAGCAAAGTTGGCATGGATAAGGTGAGCCCTGAGCACATCCCCTCATCGATTCCAGGACCTGAAGTACCCCTTTGGAGGTCTTTCAACATGCAACATTACGTAACAAGTCTCAGGAATGCCCTGCTAGTGTCCTGCACAGCTTAAAGCTCCAGGCCCCCATTCCCAAAGCTTCTTAGGGTGAGACTCTGGCCCTAGACACAGAATCCCTGAATGATGTAAAGAGGTGTCTAGGATGTCCTAGAAGGCCCCAACAAAGAGCTGGTGCCCCCTGATCTCACAGGTGCACAGTGATACTGCACTGAGCTGTCAAACACTTAAATTGCAAAATTGAAAAACAAGCTAACCAGGATTGGAGGTGTTTAGCTTCACTGGTAATCAGAGAAAAAGCAAAGAAAATGCACAACTATCCTGCACAGCAAGAATCCTTCCTGTTGGGATGGTTGGTGAAATTTGAACAAGGTCTGTGACATAGATAAGAGTGCTCTATCGGTGTTCTTTTCTGACTTGGATCATTACACTGAGAGTATTTAAGATAATGGTCTCCCTAGGAAGTAGCAGGCACTGAAGCATTAGTGAACAAGAAGAATGGTTGCTCAGATTTAAAAAACAAGTGTCTCAGAGGTATTGTGTGTGTGTGTGTGTGTGTGTGTGTGTGTGCGTGTGCGTGAGTGTGCATAAGCATGAAAGAGAGAGAATGGAAAGATTTCTGCTGTAGCAATTGCAGAGGGGATTCTGGAGAAAGATACATAAGGGATTAATATAACATTTGTGCAATATGTCCATAATCCAAATCCATTCCAGGTAAGTTCTGGGAGCACCTTGCATGGGAGCATAGTACCTTTGCTATTTGTCCATATCGGTATTGGTGTTTGGGTGTGGTCCTTGGAAAGTCCTTTCGGAATACATACCCTGCGCTAAAACTTCTAAGTCAAGTATATGTCTTATTTCTATGGTCCATTCTTAAGGAAAGGGACATCCTGTCCAGGGTGTTGGCTAGCTTTCATGTACAACCAGAAAATACAGTTGGCTCATGGAAAGGTCTAGTTGTGACAGTCACAGGGGCATGTGACTGGCGGCTCTCACCGAAGTTCCCCAGGCTGTTCTTACGGGTGTCCACACACATCTCCAGCACCCTCACCAGTTGGAGGTCATCTACCTGGGCCAGGGCCTGCTGCAGAAATCATCAGGTGTCACTTCCAGTTTTCTCCATGCTTTTGGCTGAGGACTCTGTAAAGGTGCCTACTGGAGCAGGTGGCAAATGTTCCCCTGCCTCATCCAGGTTGGGCTTGAATAACAGTTTGGCTGGTGGGCATGACACGAGCAGAGGTTGTAATTGACTATCAGGGAAGGGCCTGCCCTTGAGGTGCCAGTCTCCAGGTGAGACCTTCATACAGATTCAACAATGCAGTTGGAGCCCAGAACCCTGGTAAGCAGCACCCAGCCACAGCATACCTGGACCAGAGAACACACAAAAACACTCAAGCTGGAAGTCAAGGGGTGGGGCCCTACTGGTCTATCTGTCCTTGTAGATGGGCAAGACCTTTTTGTATGTGAAATATAAGCATGATCTCTCAGGATTGTGGGCCACACCTGCTACGGCATCAAGAGACACCTTGCAAGAACACATGCAGGCTCTGGCCTAGCAGGCTAAACAGTTATTCTAAGGAGGTCCCTGGTGATACCAACTACCATGATTCTCTCCTTCATAGTGGTCAGCCACGAGTGGATAGCAAACTCTAAATCCTGGGAGCTTCAGGGTTGTCCAGATGGACTCTACAAAACCTCAGGACTCAGGGATGCGGTACACTCATAAGCTCTCACACTGGATGTGGAGAATAGTCTTTACCTGATGCCAATATAGCCAGCATACCAAGGACAGATCCTACCTCAGGCAGGTTGAGAGGAGACTGAGGAACTCTATCTAGCCTTGGGTGGGGAGTCATGCGCCATGACCAGCTGCCCTTTCAGCATCCCAATATGCCACTTCCTAGTTCTCCCTGTTGCAACATTAGCTCTTGAATAAGAGGCTTCTTGTCTGCTTGAGCACAGGCCTCAGCCAATAGTTACGGAATCCTGGCCCAACAGTGCCATCTGTGATCTCAATGCCTGGGGATGCTTGTGTCACTTGGGCTGCTGGCAGGGACCCTACTGGTGGAAAGGTAAGAGATACCTAGCAGAGGGAAAGCTGGATACCAGCAGAAGGGGTGCCAGGATGCCATCTCATGCAGACCCACGGTGGAGCCTTAGGCCCCAATCACTTACCAGCCGAGCAGGGGAAAGGTGCTCTTCCACCCGCCGCTCCCTGTGGATATCCCCATGGCTGCCCCGTCTCTTGTTTTGTGGGCAGGGGTTGGTTAGGCCCTGCCAGCTCAGCTCCCGTACCCGGATACTAGCTGTGCCTGGCCGAGGTCCCTGGGATCCATCCCAGGCTGGGTCCATCCACATCCAACCTGTTAGGAGAGCCAGAGAGCCAAATCTCCTCGTTTACAAGGCTCTAGTTCACATCAATGGCCCACAAAGCCATTAGGTCAACTCTCACATAGCCCCGCAACCCAGCCTGACGTGGCCTGGCCTGTGCCACTTTAGCAGTCTAGATAACTGGACAGCACATTTCTGCTCCCTTACTTTCAGCTGAAACTTCCTGCTTGTGCTCATAACTTCTCTCCCTTTCCTTCTATATGTTGGGGGGGGGGAGATGTATTTAACTGTATGTGTAAATGTGTGTGAACATATGTGTGCGTGCACGTGAAGGCCAGAGGACACCTTGGGTGCCATTACGCAGGTGCCGTCCTCCTTTTTTTTTTTTTTCTAGTTTTTCGAGACAGGGTTTCTCTGCAGCTTTAGAGCCTGTCCTGGAACTAGCTCTTGTAGACCAGGCTGGCCTCAAACTCACAGAGATCCACCTTTCTCTGCCTCCCGAGTGCTAGGATTAAAGGTGTGCACCACCACCGTCTGGCTTTTTTTTTTTTTTTTTTGAGAGAAATTCTCTCACTGGCATGTGGCTCACCAAATAGGCTAAGCTGACTTGCCAGCAAATTCCAGGCACCTGCCTGTCTTTATCTCCCCAGTGCTGGAATTATAAGATCACTTTACCATGCCTGGTGTTTTATATGTAATTCTGAGGATCAAACTCAAGTCTTCATGCTTACAAAACAAGCAATTTACTGTCTGAGTGATTTCTCTATTCCTTTCTTTGGTTCTGTATTTGTTTCTCACAGTGTCCATGCAATGAGTACTGGCTCCAGTCTTTGCCATCTTGGGCTTCACAAAGGCTATGAGTTGGGGCTGGAAAGATAGCTCAGTGGTTAAGAGCATTTGACTGCTCGTACAGAGGACCTGTGTTTGATTCCTAGCATCCGTAGTGGGTGGTTCACAAATGCCTGTAACCAAGGGATCAGATGCCCTCTTCTGGCCTCTGTGGTATGCACGCACGCACGCACGCACGCGCGCACACACGCGCACATACACACACACACACACACACACACACACACGGTAAAGAATATTGTTTTAAGGTTGTAAGACTAGGGATACTGGGAAAGATGCCTATATGGACCAGCAGCCAGCAGTTACTGACAGTTCCCTGGGCTGCCCCAGATCTGGCTGTGGATCCTTCTTCAGTACTGGTCTCTTGAGTCAAGGCAGGACCAAGATAGCAGACATTCCCTCTAACCACCCACTTCTCTGGCTGAGGCCCCACCTGCAGGTTCCTGGCTCCTGTTGTAGGTCAAACATCCGGGCAAGAGGGCCACATGTGTCTACATGTAATACCTGTAAGAGAGAGTTAGATTAGCTTCCTGGCTATGTCACTGTGCTCTGTAGCACCTGGTTAAGCTGGCCAAAGTCAGCTCAGAAGCAAACAGGTAGAAGAATGGAGTGCTGTTAGCTGGGGGCTTGGTCTTGAACCTCCTGTGACCACTTTTGTGGTGGATGAGGCTCAGACAATGAGGAAGACAGTCCAGGGTCCCTCTGGGTCACCTAGTGCAAACTAAGGCACGGTCCTCACCCAAATCCTGCTGCTTCTTCCACGCCTAAAGGGGATGCTGGGTGTGTGGTTCAGAATCTTATGTAGGCCCACCTCTCCTGAACTCCTTTCCATACCTATGGAGTTTTTTCAGGTGCCTCTCTACACCTCCATCCAGGTTTGACCGACCCCAAACTTCTTCACTTTTTACTGTCTTTACTTAGAAGTAAGAGTTGTCTCCTTCCACTGCACTTCATGACTTATTGCTTACTCAGTCCAGTGTGTCTGCCCCACAAGATGTAGGCCCCACCCTTCGGCCCAGGTGTCCCCTAGCACAAAGGACATGGAGAAGCGGTACCTAGCTCTCACCTGAGGGGTGGGCCAGGGTGCCCAAGTCCTGGGCGCATCCCTGGGCCCCTCCACCGCGGCGGTCGCTCTCTTAAGTGAGGGCTTTCTTTTTTCCACCGCGGAGGGGTTGCGGCCCTGGCGCCATGGCAACGGGGGCGGGGTCTCATTTGAATATCCAAATATTCGTAAGCCGCGGGCATCCGGGGCCGCGGCAAGATGAGCCCCGCCCCCTAGCAACGGTTGCCGGGACACGCGGCAGATCCGGTGGGAGGGCTCTCCAGAGTAAGGGAGGCAAGCCGGACTGCTGAACGCAGCGAAGACACGCAAGAGCCGCCATGGGGGCGGTGAGGGGCTCTGGCAGGCTCCGAGCGGGCTATCTGCCTGTTGGCCGCATCGGCCGAGCCGAGCTCGCGCTCCGGACGACACGTGAACGCGCGCTCCCAGGCCTGCATCCATCGGTTTTCAGAGGAGGACGTGCTTTGACATTTCAGAGTGTTGGAAACATTGCGTCTGACACAGATGTACCCTACTTACTTGAGTGGGTGGAACACTTCATTTCGCCCTAATATCCAACTTTTCTGACTTTCAGGGTCTTTCTTCAAATGGGAGCAAGTATGAGCTGCTGCAGGGTTGGGACCTCGAGTTTTATTTTTTTTTTTGGGGGGGGGGGGGCGGGGTCTTCTCCAAAGCACAAGGAGCGCAGTGTAATGAGCCGACGCTGCCCAGGGATGGGGCCTTCGCTCCACCTCGGCCTACGGGAACAGGCAGCTCGGGGTTCCGGCGGACTCTGCCTTCCTCTGGTATCCGGCGTCCGCGGTGCTGACTGTCCCGGACACTAGGTGCCCACCGAAATGACTTTTCCGTTCCCTGGGCCTTTGGGCCTCTGGTGAGGGTGCAGGGTGGAAGCTCTGTGACAGGCCCTGCGACCCAACCCGAGCGTACGGCAGTTTCTCTCCGGAGGAATCTCGGGCTCTTAAGCACGGGCTCCCTCACTCTCTTCCGCACCTCGGAACTAGGCGTCGCTCCTTAAGTGCAGCACCCAGGTTACTACACTGCCTCTCCAGGAAGCCCCGCCTAGCTGCGGCTCCTGACGGATGGGTTGCTGAACCAACCACGACAGGTCGCGGTAAGGCGGAGCTCTACCAATCACCGGTCGTCTAGAGTTGACGGACGGGCGCGGGGCGGAGCGGGGCGGGGCGAGCGCGGGCCCGGCCGAGTCCCCGCCGTCCGCGCCCGGCGCCCGCAGCCCGAGCCGCACCCGCCGCGGACGGAGCCCATGCGCGGGCCCAGCCGGCGCCGGTCCGCGCCCCCGCCCTGCCCCGGCCCCGGCCCCGGCTCCGGGGGCAGTCGCTCCAGCAAGCGGTGAGTTCGGGCGCGGGGTGGGGCGCGGGGCGCAGGTGATCGGTGCTTCCTCGCTCCTCGTAGCCCGGCAGCGTGCCTAGCGCCCGGCTGCCCGCCTCTGCGGCCCGGCCCGCCCCGCCTGTGGCCGCCCTCCCGGCCAGGCGCCGCCCGGGCCTCCGGAGACTCTGTGCCCCGCGGCCATCACGCTCCGGCCTCGGGGCTACAAGGACACCCGCGCCTGGCCCCAGTCAGGGCCTTCTGCTCCCCAGCTACCCTTCGCGCCCCTTGTGAGTCTTTCCTGCAGTCACCTGCTTCCCACACCCTCAGCCGCTTTTTCCCCCCTGCTTGCTGAAGGCTCCCTGGCCCCTTGTGGAAGGTCTGTCTCAGCGGAGGGCAGGGTCCCTTCCCTTCCCCCGCTGCCAGGACCGCGCCTGGCATGCAGTAGGCGCTCAGTAAATACTTGTCAGTTGCACCCACATGCCGGCGGGCCGGAGCCGGTTGTAGGCTGGCACTGGCCTGCCTGGGCACGCTGAGGCCGCCGTGGCAGGACCTGTTTTTTGGGGGGGTGGCCTCAGCCCTCAGGCGCCTCCAGTTGAGGCTTTCTGCCTACCTAGCGACTTCTAATTTGGGTGCGTGGTTGGGAGAAGCTCTCAGCTGTCAGCCCTGCCTTGGGGGCCTCTCCCTGCTTCCTCACACAGCCATTAAGTGCTGCTGGAGGAGGTGGAGGACCTCCCTGTCCCAGCTGGAGGTGCCACAGGTGAGTGACTGAGCCACTGTTGTGGCTGGCCTGTCTGCTCAATGCTGGAGAGGGCCTTTGGGTCAGGCACCTATTAGCAGTCTCAAGTGGCCCGGGCCTGGCTAAGTATGGTTCTCATTGGCAGGTGGGGCAGGAGCTCCTGGAGTGGCAGCCCCTATAGAAGCGATGACAGAATACAAGCTTGTGGTGGTGGGCGCTGGAGGCGTGGGAAAGAGTGCCCTGACCATCCAGCTGATCCAGAACCATTTCGTGGATGAGTATGACCCCACCATAGAGGTGAGCTCTAGCTACCTGCCTAGGCTCTGGCAGTGGTCATGGGTAAGACAGGCCCACACAGCCAAGGCTTGCAGGTGGTATAGGTCTGGCTTCCACCTGATCCGTCAGGGCATGAGATGTGCAAGGGTGGGCCAGGTCTGTGGACTTGTCTGTCTGAGGAGAGATGGAGCCCCTAAGCTCTGTTCTTCTGCAGGACTCCTATCGGAAGCAGGTGGTCATTGATGGGGAGACATGTCTGCTGGACATCTTAGACACAGCAGGTCAAGAGGAGTATAGTGCCATGCGGGACCAGTATATGCGCACAGGGGAGGGCTTCCTCTGTGTGTTTGCCATCAACAACACCAAGTCCTTTGAAGACATCCATCAGTACAGGTAAGCCACCTATGGCTAGCCCATGAGCCCATGGCACAGGTGAGGAAGGTTCTGTGTGCATACTGAGGCTTTATGTCTTCTCCTGAATGTCCTGGATACAGCCATGCCTGGAGCCTGCTAGCTGGCTCACACACTCCTCATCCCCTTCCAGGGAGCAGATCAAACGGGTGAAGGACTCAGACGATGTGCCAATGGTGCTTGTGGGGAACAAGTGTGACCTGGCCGCTCGTACTGTCGAGTCTCGGCAGGCCCAGGACCTTGCCCGCAGCTATGGCATCCCCTACATTGAGACATCAGCTAAGACCCGGCAGGTGAGCTTGCTCCTCACTCTCTGCAGCTAGTCAGGGATTTACCCCACCCTACCCCAGCCAGGGAGCGGAG